ATAGATTATCAAGGATCTGATCGTGCAGACTGACACAGGACAGGGATAAAAGATCAGGACTACCTTTGGTCCTTGCTTCTATTCGCAGGTCCTTACCAATTTCTTACATCTGCTATAATAGGCTATCACATAGGACAGGTAGCACAGAGCAGGACTGCTTTTGGTCCTTGCTTCCACATAATGATGCTGAAAGCAGACACCTTGCAGCTCCTTAGTACTTTGTAACATCTGCTATAATAAAGTATCACAAATCTACTGATGCAGAGTGATGTAGAACAGGGTGACAGATCAGGACTGCCTTTGGACCTTGCTTACCCTTGGTAATGTTGAGATCAGACACCTTGCAACTCCTTAATACTTTCTAACATCTGCTACAATCAATTAGCAGTGATCTGCTGGTTCAGAGTGACACAGGACAGGGATGACAGATCAGGACTGCCTTTGGTGCTTGCTTCCATTGATGATGCTGATGACAGACACTCTGATGCTCATTAATACTTTTTAATATCTACTGAAATAGATTATAAAGGATCTTATCATGGAGACTGACACAGGACAGGGATGGCAGATTAGGACTGGTTTATGCCTAATGTTGAGATCAGTCACCTTGCAGCTTCTTATTACATTCTAACATCTGCTATAATGATCAGAGATCTGCTGGTTCAGAGTTATATAGGACAGGTATAAAAGATCAGGACTGCCTTTGTACCTTGCTTACCCTTGGTAATGTTGAGATCAGACACTTTGAAACTCCTTAATACTTTCTAACATCTGCTATGATAAATGATTAGAGATCTGCTGGTTCAGAGTGATATAGGACATGGATACAAAATCAGGACTGCATTTGGACCTTGCTTACCCTTGGTAATATTGAGATGAGACACATTGCAACTCCTTAATACTTTCTAACATCTGCTATAATAAACAATCAGAGATCTGCTGGTTCAGAGTGACACAGGACAGGGATGACAGATCAGGACTCCCTTTGGTTCTTGCTTCCCCCTGGTGATGCTGAGAGCAGAGACTTTGCAGCTTCCTAATACATTCCACCATCTGCTATAACAGGCTTTCAGGGATCTGATCCTGGAGACTGGCACAGGACAAAGATGACACATCAGGGCTGTCTTTGGTCTTTGCTTTCCCTTGGTGATGCTGTAGGTAGACATCTTGGTGCTTGTTAGCATCTGTTATAACAGGCTATCAAAGATCTACTGGTGCAGAGTGAAACAGGACAGGGATAAAAGATCAGGACTGAAATAGGTCCTTACTTCCCCTTGATGATGCTAAGGACAGACACCTTGCAGCTCCTTCATACTTTTTAATATCTGATGTAATAGATTATTGGAGATCTGCTCATGCAGAGTGACACAGGACAGAGGTGACAGATCAGGGCTGCATTTGGTACTTGCTTCCACTTGTTGATGCTGATAGCAGACACCTTGCAGCTCCTTAATGCTTTTTAATATCTGCTTTAATAGACTATCAGAGATCTGCTCCTGCAGAGTGACACAGGACAGGGATGACAGGGCTGCCTCTGGTCTTTGCTTCCCCTTGGTGATGTTGTGGACACACACCTTGCAGCTTCCCAATGCTTTCTAACATCTGCTATAATAGATTATGAGAGATCTACTGGTTCAATGAGACACAGGACAAGGATGGCAGATCAGGGCTGCCCTTAGTCCTTTTGATGCTGAGGACAGACATTTAGCTGCTCGCTCCTTAATACGTTCTAATATCTGTTATACCAGACTACCAAAGATCTGTAAATTGACACAGGACAGGGATGACAGGTCAGGACTGCTTTTGGACCTTGCTTTCTCTTGGTGATGCTGAAGTAGACTCACCTTTCAGCTCCTTAATACTTCAACATATGCTATAATAGGCTATCACAGACCTGCCCATGCAATAACTGACACAGGACAAGGATGCCAGATAAGGGCTGCCTTGGGTCCTTACTTCTCCTTGGTGATGCTGAGGACAGACATACTGCAGCTTCTTAATACTTTCTAACATCTGCTGTGATAGGCTCTTTCTATAAGCAAGAGACAAAGCAGAAGTACTTTATAAGCAGAAATTTCTCCGTTTACATGCTTGCATTGTGAACTATTTAAGTGAGCATTTAATTTGGTAACCATCCTGATTGTGGCTGACTTGCTTTTCTTACTTACAATGATAATGTATAACTGTAACCTGCAATCTGAGTGATCACTGCAACAGATTACAGAAACTACCTAAAACACAAAACAAATGGGCAAATCAAAAACAGATAGATACATGGACTAAAGTCACTGTACCTTCTAATGGGAATTTTCATCCACCTCCACAGCTGTAAAACTTTGCTGCTTGTTAGCAAGCAGGTTGTATTGACAACCACATGTACAGCAAATAAGCAAATAAAAAAATTATGGCACAGGGGCTGATTTAATAAAACAGACGGAAAGGAGATGATAGAAAAAGTGGAGTTGTTGCTCAGAGTCAGCAATCACCTCTAATTTTATCTAAAATTTAAGCAGGAATTCTTACTTTTGTTATTCTCTTTTCTCCAGTTCTATTGAATTAGCCTGTGTTGGATTTTACTGTCATTAAACATGTGTTTAGTTTACAGAATACATAAGTGTACATTTGTTTAGTTTATATAATATATAATAAATATGTATAAGTTTTATATTACAAAACATGTAATAAATATTAATTTGTTTAATTTACATATATAATAAATATACATTAGTTTAATTTATATTAAACATATTACATATACATTTGTTTAGTTTATATTATACGTACTTTAAAAAAAAAAATATATATATATATATATATATGTATATACTGTATATATATATATATATATATTTTATATTTATTTATTTCTAATTCTTTCCAGTTATTTCTATAGGGCATATATATATATATATATATATATATATATATATATATATATTTGCCCTACAGAAATAACTGGAAATAATTAGAAATTAATAAATATATAAAATGTATATACATATACTGTATGTATGTATATATATATATATATATATATATATATATATATATATATACATACAGTATATGTATATACATTTTTTTATTTATTTTTTGGCATAAAACATAATAAAAATATAAGTTTGTTTCCTTTACATGACATAATAAAATACACTTGTTTTGTTCACATTTCATTTACAATAATGCTTAAAGTCAGCAAATGACAGAGAAAGAGAGAAATATACATACAGTTTAACAGCAAGTGACAACACTTTTTGTTAGCTGGGATGCACTATAGAACTACAAGTATGTTTTGACAGCAAAATATTGTTATCTGAATGAATTCAGATTTTAGCTAGCCTTATACAGACAGTAACATGATTTCAGAAAGCAACTAAGTTTTTTCATGATATGATGGAAGAAGCTCAAAGTTAACATATTGAGGTCACTGGGAAGCATACTATGAATCTTTGTGTAGCCAATAAAATACAATGCCATATTACTAGCCGAATACAGCGATCAATTTTGAAGGTACAGTAGCTATGGGACATGAGGTATGCATAAATATGTATCGAAATGATGATATTTATTTAAAATGTATGTGCAAATATCTGTTTTGGATGGTTTAAAAACAAAACACTGGAACACAAAAAACTAAAACGTGGTGCAGTGACCTGTAGCAACCAGACCCCTTGCTGCTGATAAAACCTGACTGGTTAATATTGGCAGCTGTACCACCTTTTGTTCTTTTTTTGCTAAATTTTATGCAAATTAGCCCTATTATATTGGTTACTTTGATCCTCATATATTGGGAAGAATTACAGGGTTTCTTTTTAAAAATGCAATGAGAAACAATATAACCCATAATATTTTACTAAATAATGTCTTGAAACTGCACAGTGGTCATCTACATTCTCCATTTCCTTGTACATATCACAGACTTGGTGTGTATCATGTACCTTCCTTGTGGTGATGTAAAATAATTTTTTTCTGATATTCAGGAGAAATTAATTTATTCACTTATTTATTTATTACAGGTACTTATAAAGGGCTGACAATTTACCCAGAAATTACATATTGCACATTCACATCAGCCCCCCTGCCTTCAAGTCACTTATAATCTAAGGTTCATATCTCGCATTCATACATACATATACTGGGGCCAATTTAGACAGGAGCCAAATAGCCTACTAGCCAGTCTAAGCTCTAAAATTTATTTACATTTCCACCATATTATTTTCTTTACTTTTTAGTTATGTGCACTGATTTCAGGATATTGGAGGTGATGAATACTTCTCATCATTTGAGAATTGGCAATTTTACCACTGAAATGTAATGGATATCCATGCACCAATTCTTTAATATATAAGCATTAACCAACTATATTATCCTTTTTGTTTATTATTTTTTGTCTGTCTGGCCATCTATCTAATGATTCATCCATTTAGACATCTATCCATCCAGTTACATTATCTATCTATCTATCTATCTATCTATATCTATCTATCTATCTATCTATCTATCTGTCTATCTATCCATCTCTCTATTTTTGTGTGCACCCCTTTTTTAAGCAATGAAAAAGCATATAAAAACAGACTTTTTAGCCATATTGTTAGTTGTACTAAATCTATAAAAATATCTGTTGTCGACTGTATGTTACTGTGGGTTTGTACTTCTGTGCCATGATAATATATAACCCTCTTACCATATTGTGTGTTATTTCTATTGTTCCAGAATTGGATTGTCATCACTTACTTACCATTAGTTATCCTATTAATATAATGTTTTTTTGATCTAGTGTATGCATACAGTATTTTTTAGAGTAAATTTAATGTGACTTTTAAAAAAAAAATCTGGTTTTTTCTGAACAGTGCAAATCTTTGATCTTTGTGTTACTGATTCTCAAGCAACACATACTGATGGGAAAGCTAAATCATGTCAATATGTTGGTAAATATAATATGCAATTATGTAAAAAATTAAACCAAGTAACAAGGAATGTAATTCATCTCTCCTTTAGCTATGTACAGTGGAATATGCATCTGTGTACTACTTGCAGTGCTGTCTGCAAGTTCCACGGGACAGCAAACAGTGGGCTCTATGAATGAAGACACTGGGGTCCGTGAAATAGAACAGCAGAACATATTACAGCACCCACGACATATCCGTGCCTCCTCTTCAGGCCAGTTAAAGTCCCTCCAGCGCATTGATGGAAATGGTGACCAAAAAGCCATTTTTGGAGCAATGTTGGCTAAATATCTGCAGACCAGGAAAGGTAAGATGAGACTTTTTGTGTCATATTCCACAAATTTACCTAGCTCACGCTGTTTTCATGTGAAAAGAAATTTCCCTCCAGTGGCATAAATGAGGATAACAGCACAAATCAAGAACAGTGGTTTACCACTATTGTTATTCATATCCAGCAGAAGTCATCTTTAACAAAAAAAAAGATGAACTATAGAGTTTCATACCTAGAAAGCTTCAGAAAAGGAGGAAATACAAATACATACCATACAATCTAACCTCTTTGATCTATAACAGTTTTGTATTGGTCTAAAGGCTCCAATATTCAGTAAGAGGTGTTTGGGGTGGTTTAAAGTGTGTGGTTAAATGGAAATATTAATATACAAGTAGATACACAATACTGTTTTATATTTTTGTTTTCTTTTGGTATGCCAGTCAGTAAATTTCCATTTTGCACCATGGAGATTTCCATGACCAAATGCCAAATAAATTGTCCACATGCAGGGTAACGTTGTCATAAATAAGCCATACTAAACATACCAGCCAGAGAGCTACTTACCAGTTACAGTTGGTTGGTGTACATGTGCAGTTTTCAAACACAGTCTTCTTGACAAAGGCTGTTAATTAAAAAATCAAACATAATTTTGGGATTTTTACACTCTAAGCCTTAACAGCTATTCAGATATATCATACAAATGCGTAGTATATCAGATGAACTATGTAAACACTAATATGCAGTAGCTGAGTGAGATCTCTGTTACCTTGCAGTTGTCTCCCATGTCATTGGCTCATTCATTGAAATGTAAAGGTCATTAATTATGTTTTTCCTAAAAAAACATACAAAAAACATACAACTAATTTCATGGTAAAAAAAAAAACCATACAACTACATTTTTTCATGGTAAAAAAAAAACCCCATACAACTACATTTTTCCATGGTAAAAAGGACAAAATGTGTTATATGTTTATATGGCAGTCACATAATGGCTTTTTTATGTCTATTGCAGCAAAAATGTGTGACATGCAAGGAACCTATCAAAACTTAGCTTCAGGCTATCCCTTCAGTTAAAATAAATGTCAAAACATACAAGTAAACGTGGCCAAAATTCCATCACTCTCAGTTCATTTTTAACTGTTGGTTTTTGTATGTAGCTGGACTGCAGTGATGAAAAAATACTTGCTGTGGACTATCTCATTACCAGCTTCCCTCATTACCATCTAACCTTATTTTCATTTTGTTTTATTTTTGGTCTTTGTTTTTAGCAGTTCTCTTCACTGCTATTCCACTGAACTGACCAATGTCTTCATGGAAGTGTACACCTCTACCTGTATACCTATTTTTTAAAATGATGTTTTATTTCTAATTCAGCCCCCATCTTCATTAATGTCTTAGATACTGTACCAGTAAGGTCTTCTACAACTGGGAGTTTCTGGTGATCCCACCAACCATGTTTCAGCACCTCCTGTTGCATTCTTCATAAGATTAAAGGAAATTTAAAAATCTGATAAGGAGCATGAGAACTTCCCCCCCCTCCCTTCACCCATAATGAACACAAATGGTGGGCAGACTGGAGAAGTCAAGCATTAAAATATCCCTGGAAGATAAATTAAATTGTCAAATTGTTTAAATCTTCATCATCTACCAAAAACTGAAATATCCTTTTTGGATAAACTGATATTTTTAGTTGTTGTCCTACATGACTAAGGACATTTATGTACTGTAGATTTCCTAAGGATTCCAACATGTAAAAAACAGTGTAGACTTGCAGATGCAGAGATGAAGAAGCCCAATGCATTCTCATTAAGAAGAGCCTCAGGTCTCCATTTTTCTAAACAAATACAAACACAGATTTGCTATGTGCTTCTACCCTTTTGAATCCTATCTGATCCTTAATTCTCCAATGTCTAGAATATCCTTTCTCATGAAGTAAATAGAACTATTTTTGCACTCTGTCTTTAGTGAAGCATAAAAAAAAAACAATCCAACTCACCTTGAAACATCCTCCTTTATTAACAATACAGCTAAAACATGTCTTGAATAACTGTTCAGGTGTATTAACTGCAGTTTTTTTATTCAGTTTTACTGCTAGATCTAGACTTGTCTACAGTCCCTCAGCACCAATGTCAATGAAAATTTAGATAATTATTGCTTAATGTGTTTAAGCCAAGCAGGAGCTTTCAATTTCACCTTATCATCTCCAATCTAAGACCACTAATCTTAGTGGCAGTGGTGGAAGGAAGTCAGATGTGACGTCCCTTTAACCTAGAGCTAGACTCAACTATTTCTTGGGATTTACAAAGATATGACAGATGACCAAAATTTGCCAATGAGTCTTTTCTGCTTGGATGTACAGGCATACTATATGCATCCATATATAATGATGAGATAAATCAGCCCTCTCCTTTCTTCAACTTTCACCCTCTAATGTGTAGCAGTTCTACTTTAGGCCTTTACTGGATGTTCTGACTTTTAACATTATCACAAAGGATAAGCATGGAAACCATGCAAATATTTCCATTACTTGCACAAGCAACCTTCTGTTGGTCCCTGTTGAAAACATCATCTAAAAACTTTTAAGCCAAAATGACTAATTAATTTACCAGTTTCATGTTTCCAACAACCTATGAACCTTATCCTGAGGTATCCTAGTGGATGCAGCACTAAACTGATTTTTGAGACATTGGAGTTGATATAATTAGGGCAAAAAGGCTGTTCACAAGGAATTTTTCCCACCCCCATGTTTAGCCAGGCTTGGGAAGGGGTAGAGTCCCAAAACACATCACCTAGTACCATTTCCAGAAGTACTTCTCTCCCCAAGGCCACCAAGAAAATTGAGGATGTTGCATGCTTCTTGATGTGGGTTCTGTATTAGAGGTGCTATTGCTGTCTGACATGTTCATCACTGATACTGGATTGTTAGGCTTAATGCTGCTGCTGAATCCCGATTGCCTATTATGTGCTTTGTGCTTTCCAAACATCACTGTACTGTAAGTGTTTTAAGCTAAGTACTATTAAAATCCACCATTATTGCTCAAGGGTTGGGTCCTCTGTTCTCTATTTCTTTCTCAAGTGCTGGATCTCTCTGATCATCAGGAGCTGCAGGGCAAAATGCATTTCCCAATCCCTCCTCCATCTTTGGATCTATCTATGATTTTTTTTGTGAACTGATCAGTCCCTTGATCATAAACTACTGTGCATTGCTTTTATTGTTTTACTAAATGTAATAACTATATGTCAGTCTAGAGATTAAAAAAAAGTTTTCTAATAAAAAAAAGTAATGACATTTCTTCCCCCTTTCTAAATAGACCCATTGTCAGGGTCTAGGATCAGGGAGACGTATCAGTGGATGTAGCAGTGGATGTAGCAGTAGAGAGGTTCATGAGTAATTACCTGAAAATTTACAAGCAGATCCCCCCAGTGGAACAGACTCATCTGAGGCATGGGTTCTAAGCACTAACTGGTCTTCAACAGAGCTCTTGATGGTGGAGATGCTTTTCGTTGCATGCTAATGCATGGTCATGGCCCTTTGGATTGCCAAGAAGGGGGTCAGGTAACAGATGAAGCAGATAAGGAACAAGCAGAAGCATAGTCGATGAACAAGCCAAAAAGTCAGTAACAAGTAGTAGCTGGATGGGATCAGATGGAAGCATAGTTGATGAAAAAGCCAAGGGTCGATAAAGAATGGTAATGATGGACAGCAGCAGGTATGCAAGGAGCAAGATATTGGTTGGAGAGAGTACAATAATCTGGAAAAAAGGAAGTACAAAGACGTGGCTTAAATCAGGAAGCTCATGGGAGGAGCAAAGCGTTCAAGGTTCACCAGAAACAAGATACAAAGCAAGGTTTTACAAAGGATCAATCAGGTTGCTGTCCAGCATCTGGCAAAGCAAGAAGAGCTACAGCTAGATACCACAGAGGTCCTAGTTTCATATCTGGACCCTGATGCCCTTATTATTACCTTTATGTTATGTACCACCTTCATCAGTTGATACCTTTATCTTCAAAACTGCTTATCGTCCCACTCATATGCTAATTTTTTCACCTCTAAATCTCATGCTTATGGTGGCAGTGACCTGAAAAACTATTTAACAACAACCTGTCAGAGGGATTTAAGTCCATCCATCTCTGGGGGCTCCCCTATCCCCAGCCCCCCCCCCCCCCCCAAAAACACACACAAACTCTAGTTAATTTATTGATGGTTTTAAAAAAAAGAAAATGTCCTTAAGGCCATTGTCACATGATACTACAAGCCCAAGTGTTATCTCCTCTTCAGTTTACATGAAGCAGGATCCATCTTTAGGTGTCCATGTCATTGCATGGGTGATGTGGACACTTCCAGTCTAGTGGCGGAGATCTCTCAGGATCCAGAAGAAAAGTGATATCAGCACAGGGGGACTGTTGGGGACCAGTGAGCATGAACATATCTACAGCCCTGGCTTAGTGGTCTCCTCCACTTGGAAATGGTGACAAAAGAGGACGCAGACAGCAGACCTAAGTGAATTTACCTCTCAAGGTAAGAATAAAAATACATGCAGGAGGAGTTAGAGGGGAGTGGGAGGGAAGAGAGACTGGTGATTCATATTTTGCTCTGAGGTGGACTTTAAAGTAGATCTAAACCCAACATCTAAAAACTTCAGTCTGTAATTTCACAACTTGTTTCAAACATGTTAAATAGCCAGTTTTCATTAAAAGAACACCTATTGATCTTGCCATGAAGACCCTTATTCAAGAACTTCCTGTTATAGGGTGACCATTGTCTCCCAATTGTGTTCCTGTGCTGTGATCCTGTCACATGCTCACTAATGGAGACTACAAATGACCCACAACTGTCCTGAGCAATGATGAGCAGCTGATGTTTGAGCAAGTGCATGTAGACATGACGTGAAAGAATAAAAAAGATTGGAGGGGAGCAGCAGCACCAATATGCAGAAAAGCATAGAAGAGGGTGAAAACAGTTTTTTTTAGAAAAAAAAAAAAATAGGGCAGTTTTGTGTTACAATCAGTGCTTCAGTTAAGGTTTCAATCAACTTGTAATCTTTGAGTGCAAAAATATGGAAGCTACCATTGGTGACTTTACATGTATAGGTCCTAGGCCTCTCATCCTGATCATAACCTGGGCAGAGATGGGACCAATCAGTACACTACTAGGCAGTGAAACTAGCATCATAAAAATAGACAAAGAATTCTCACTTTTTTAAAAGCAAGTCAGCGATGACAGATCCAATATTTCATTTTCACACAAAACTTCACATAATGACATAAAGGGTTATTTACTAAAACTGTATGGTGTAAAATCTGGTGCAGCTCTGCATAATAACCAATCAGCTACCAGGTCTTATTGCCAAAGCTTTACTGAACAAGCTGAAGTTAGAAGCTGATTGGCTACCATGCACCAAAATTCTGAGTGCTCCAGTTTTAGTAAATCTCTCTCTATATAGTTTCTAAATATGTCCCATAGTGTACCCCCTCCATTTAGTAACTTCTTTTTGAATTTTGGTATTCAGCCATAAAATGTGATGAACATACAAGGAAGTACAAGTAGACTGATTATTCATTTATTGTGAATGTCCTTCGGTAAAGCATGTCATTAAAATATGATGAGGTTTAGTAGAAGTTACAGCATTCATTCTTAATTCATGCTCAATTCCTTAGTGGTCGAAGTCATCAGAGCTGAAATGGTGAGGATGGAGATGATATTGCATACTGATATTGTCTTTTTTATTCAAAGATTGTTACATGATAAAAATGTATTAATTATCAGAAATGAGTAGATGTGCTATAGCCCGAGGAAGAAATGCCATTCTCACTAGGATTTTGTTTAAAGGTACTGCTTTTCAAATATTTTCTCTCAAGAAACCGTCAGGGCTTTTAGCAAGAAATATTAATTACATGAATGTGTTCATCCCTACTCAACTCATTTTTTTTATAGAAGACAGCATCAGATCCATTCCCTTTTAAATGCATCCTTTGCAAATGTTTAACAAGTTGAAATATTTAGTAAAGTATATGTGACAATGTTGATATAATAACTCATCATAGTAATGTAAAGACTTTCATAGAATATTTTCTATACGTTTTCTATTCATAGAAAGGTCCTTTAAAAGAAAGGGCAATTATTAAAGATTAATGTAGTTTATTTAAAGAAAAGTTTTACTTTTCATGAAAGCCCCAAATGATTCCTTTATAATCTAAATTTTAGTTTATAGCATATATGAACCCTCACCTTGTAAAACAACCCATTCCGTTTAAAATAGAAATGAAAGACAATACATTTTTATACATATAAAAAACATTATAAATACACTCTGTTCTCAACTTCATAAGGAACTTAGAGAACTAGGGGAGGAGAAACAGCAGGACACCACTGGTCAGAATGGCTGTGCAGGGGGGAAGGCGTGTCAAGGCAAGTCTTATCATTGGAGGAGAGCACAACGAATTCCCAGCACACTACAGAAAGCTGACCACATTATGCTCTTATGCCTGGTGTGGTCAGTTTTAACCGCTTTAGCACCACCCCATAGCAGAAATACTGCTACAGAGTGGCAGCTGTAAAATCACGTATCTATACGTGATTTAGCATTTCTGGGTAGGGTGCACACAAGCACACGCCATTTGCGGCCTTGGCTGTCAAGGCTTTTGCATGGCTGTGTATAGCATAGCTATGCAAAGCAGTGTGCTTACAGTGAAGCACTAACACAGCACACCGTTATAGATGGCACACAGCACAGGTAACCCTTTCATCTCCCCACATGTTAACCCCTTCCTGCCCAATGCCATTAGTAAAGTGTCAGTGCTTTTTATTAGCACTGATCATTGTATTGGTGTCACTGGGGATGTCAGTGACACCAAGTCAGTTCCCCCCAGTGTCGCAAAGTATGTCACCCGCAGTACCGCAGTCCCGCAGTCCCGCTATAAGTCACTGATTACCCATTACTAGTAAAAATTTAAAAAAAAAAAAGGCCAGTACCGCCATTTGTAAACGCTACAATTTTCATGTAAACCAATTAAGTTGCACATATTGTGATTTTTTAGCAAAGGCATGTACCAGAATAAATTTTGGCCTACATTTATGACGCAATTAGATTTTTAAAAAATTTTTACTGGACATAATAGCAAAAAGCCCAAATATAGTTTTTTCTTAAAATTGTCAGTCTTTTTTTTTTTTTATATATAGCGCAAAAAATAAAAACTGCACAGGCAATCCAATACCACCGAAAGAAAGCTCTATTCGTGGGGAAAAAAAGGACTTAAATTTCATTTGGGTGCAGCATTGCAATACCAAGCAATTGTCAGTTAAAATAACACAGAGCTGTAACACAAAAAATGTCCTGGTCAGGAAGAGGGGTAAATCCTCTGGAGGGCAAGTAGGCAGTTTACCACAAGGCAAACAAGGCATTTGACTAGAGCGGAATTTTGCAGGGGGGACAGCACTGCCGCTTGGAAGAAGGGACACATGCGGCATGAGGACCTGGTATTTTCCAAGAGATGCTGTGGGTTGCATGACGGTATGCACAGCCCAACTCTCATTCTTGGGGATATGCAGAGCTGTGAAGGCGAGTATCTTAATCTCTCTCTCGCCATTGGAGATGGTGGCTAGTGTATGTGGGGCAGTGGTAGTGGCAGGGGTTTCTTGGTCAATGTCAGGCTCTTTCTGCGGGGGGGGGGTTAATTTTTGTGCTGCCTAGGGCAGCAAAAGACCTAAATGCACCACTGCGAGTAGGTAATAGGAAAGCAGGGGGACTGGCATGGACACTAGGGATTTCACACAAAGGAAGCAATAAAAAAGAGAATAGGATGCTTTTTTATACACGGTACAGTAGGCACTTGTCAGGAATAGTAAATAATGGGTTTGCATACTCTTTAAAAGCAGTTCTACAAATTTCATATTATTCAGCCCCAGTGCAAAGTGCACTCCAGCCAAAGCTATGTTGTGTTTAAAAGCTCTGTCAGGCTTTAATTACGTGTCGTGGAGATTAGCACTCACTTCTTATCCACTTGTCACCAATCAAGAAAGAGGGAAAATCCAAAATAAACTAGTTTCCCTGGTTGCCAGGTATTTTAAGTTAATTCTAACTACAACTGGGGCCACCATGGAGGTCTGCATATACATGCACATAAAGGACTATTTAAAAAGCATTCATTGTACGCATTTCAGAAGCATTAGTGCTAGCTGAACAAAATCTTACTGTAATTTTTCTAAAAGATTAATGCCTGTGTCATTGCTGTCATCAAGTGGCCAAATGGAGTATAGTTTTCTGAAATGCCTCAATAAAAAAACTATTCCACATTTTTGCCACTGGATGAAGCTGATGATACCAGAATCAATCTTAGAAAATCCTGTTGACATTTCATTCAGCTTGTTCAAATGCTTCTGACATTCCTGCAACTAATGTTTAATAAACCCTTAAGTGTTGCTTGGTTTTAATATTGATGCCTTCCATATTCTCAGAGTAAACTAAAATCAGGGGCGGACTGACAACTCATGGGGCTCCCGGGCAATAGGGGATCATGGGGCCCCTGTGTCCTTGCCCAAACTCAAAAAAGCCTATGAAAAAGGTACCAGGGGCATTTCATGGAGCCCCCTACTGACCCCAGGCCCTCGGGCAGTGCCCGAGTTTCCAAATGGTCAGTCCACCCCTGACTACAATGCATATGCACTACATTAACCCCTTCATGACCAGAAGGGATTTAACACTGTATTTAACCCAAAACTAAAAGTGTAATATATTGCAGCTTACCAATCATTAGATGTGGTGGCTGCATTGTTTTTTTTAGGCTTTTTCCCTTTGTTTTTTACCTGGTGATCTGGCCAGTAACACACCTCCTTTATTAGCGAGCCCCTACTCTGGGTGAAGGAGCACAGGGGGCATCTTTGGACAGCAGCATTGTCAGTCTGCGGGGAGGGGAGTGTTCAATGTACTAGCATGTGTCTTTTGGAATTTACTAATTTTGTTACACAGCCATTACTTTGATAGGGTTTAGGAAACCTAGTTTAATGTAATGACTGTGGTCAATTTACCTGCAATGACTGCAAAACCTGCATTGCAACGAGCATAACACGTCATTATGAATAGTGAAAGAATGGAAATCTATTGGTAGTAACCATAAACTCCAACAGTGTAAGGCCCATGAAATATAATTTTAAAAAATCGATAGAGTCATGTTGTTTGTTGTTTAACTATACAAAGTGAAAAGTGTAATATTGTAGAGCAGGGGTGCTCAACCTTTTGAAGAGGGCCTCTTAAGTGGTTTGGTAACCGGTTGCAGGACACAATGAAGTGAAATGGTTCAGAATTAGAATTTTTTATTTTGAATAGTATAATGAACTTCTTCCTTCTGCAGCCCCTGCATGCTGGCAGGAGGGAGAGGAGGAGAAGCTGGAGTTCAATGTTTTCAGGAGGAAAATGGAGAGGATCATAGTTACATAGTTTGGCTGAAAAAAGACAAAAGTCCATCCAGTTCAACCATCAAAAAAAACAGCAAAGCACGATCCAATTTGCTCCTGCAGGGAAAAAAAATCCTTCCTGATCCCCCGAGAGGCAATCGGATATTCCCTGGATCAACTTTACCTATAAATGTTAGTATCCAGTTATATTCTGTGTATCAAGAAAGAATCCAGGCCTTTTTTAAAGCAATCTACTAAGCTGGCCAGAACCAACTCTTGAGGGAGTCTATTCCACATTTTCACAGCTCTCACAGTGAAGAAACCTTTCCGTGTTTGGAGATTAAATTTCTTTTCTTCCAATCGTAAAGAGTGCCCACTTGTCCTCTGGGATGACCTCAGGGTGAATAACTCTACACCGAGTTCACTCTATGAACCACTGATATATTTATACATGTTGATCATATCCCCCCTTAATCTCCTCTTCTCAAGAGAGAATAAATTCAGTTCCTCTAATCATTCCTCAGTTTCTATATATGCAACCCCCGTCATCCCTTCTGTCCAAATGTAAAACAGAATGTGACTTAGAAGCCACACATGGATACGGGATGGTGTCGCCATTGAGACTGCTGATGCTGCATCAGTGGTTGGGGGGATGTAGTAAAAACACGTCTCAACTTATGGGGTCTTACAGCCCACTCAAACCACAAATCTAAACAAACCCTTACTGTCCTGAGCCATATAAGGTTGCTTTTACACTGATGTGCTGTGGTTTACCCTCACCGCGGGTGCACCTTCGGCTTTTCTGCGAGTTAACTTTGCCATAGACTTCTATTATACCTTGCAGGTGTGATAGAATTTCTGAAAGTGCACCAAAACTTGTGCATTCAGTTTAGGTTGAGGTCTCTGAGGGCCACATGTGGCCTGCAGGCCATGGGAGGAGCACCCCTGTTCTAGAGTTTGATTTGACAAACCTATTGAAAAGAGTGAACTTGATGAATCCCATATCCTAAGTAGGATGGGCCTGTTCTTTTACAAGTTTTTTTCAGCAAAGCTGAGGGGAAGCTACCATTGGCCTACAGTTGCATTTAAACTAAGCACCAGTTTTGAAAGCTGCACTGTGCTATTCAAACTACTGGACCAGTTGGCTGCATGATATATTTGATTACTAGTGTGATCTTAACCTTTATTAGGGTAAACTTTTCCTTACTCAACTCCTATTCTTCTGTGTAAATTTACAATAGTAGTGATAAATACACTTGCCCTTTCAGTTCTCTGCATTCCCTGGGCAAAACAACTAAACCAAAAGCAGCAAATGAATTCAGTGGCCTCGTTTATTAAATGTTTTCCCGTGGTACATTATAGGACCCAAAAGGAAAAAACTATTCATTGTGAGATATCCTTACAGCTAATTAATTATGACACATAGGGGACCTGCGTTGACATGGATCAGTATCCTTGTGGCTCACCCCTAACAACCTATGGATTCTAAGTACACAGGCTGTCCTCAGGGCATTATTTGGAAAAGGCTTATTAGGAAAATGGAGACTAAAAAATCTAGGAGCTGGTAATGAAAAAACAGTTGAGACACAATGTATAGGTTAAATGCACAGTGTATTAAAGTACCGAACGGCTAATTACTCAAAATGAGTATTATATAGATACTTACACTTAGTACCTACAGTAGTTATTTAAGGTGGTCAGTTAAACAACACAAGGGTTAGATCTTATAAATAACTACAGTTGCTCTAGGTAGCTGGATTCAGAGGTATGGTTGGTTTTGTTTCAGGTTTTGATCTATATCGTATATTTATTCTGCAACATTCAAATGTGTTTACGTGTACAGTATAATTAAAAGCTCTCATCATGGAATTCATAGGCATTCATGGTGTTTTTCCATATTTTACTTTCAGGTTTAAAACATAACTATTTAAAAATATTTTCTTTTTTCTAGGTATATATATAAGATATTGCATAGAAATATTTCATATCTACATTTTTGGAGCCAAAAGGTGGCAAGTGGTTTATTTTTTCTAATAGCTGATTTAGTTGTGATCACAGACCTAATATCTGTATCTTAGATTATGAGACCCGTAGTGGATGAGTCACAATTTCTCAAGAGCAGCCAGAAAGTGCAGAACTAGTGCTGGGCTTTCCTAGTAGACAGCCCAGCATCAACTGCACACACTTAGGTGTCTTTTTATACAAAATTTGCTTCGTGACTATCTCAGCATTTGTGCAAAAGTCATGAAAAATACCCAAAATGTTTGAATGTGTGAAATAGCAGTTTCTATTTGTTACCTCTCCCAAGACAAATGTAGCATTTCCTAACATTTAATCCTAAAAAAAAATAAAAATTCCTGAGAACATTCAATAATTCAATCATTCAAATGTTAAAGAACATTTGACCAACAGAGACAATAGCCCAGCACTATAGGCTAAGAAAATTCAACCAGAAGAGAGATAATATGAGAGAGGCCCCTGCACTGTGTACTAAGTGTATGGGGATTCCTGTGCTCCGACAGAGCTACTGACAGTGTAATGAATCAATTTTCCTAAGA